TGCTGTTGGTGTTGCTGTCCCTGTGTTGCTGCTGCTGCTGCTGCTGTTGTCGCTGTGTTGTTGTTGCTGCTGTTGCTGCTGCTTGTATTGATGCTGTTCTTCCTGTTCCTGTTGCTGTTGCTGTTGCTGTTGCTGTTCTTATTGCTGCTGTTGCTGCTGCTGCAGCAGCAGACAGGGGGGTGTTGCTGCGAGGTTTGCGTTTCTATTGCGGTGTACGTACACCGTGATTTGTGCAGCAGCAGCAAAATAAAAAAAGACAAACAGACATAAAAATTAATTAATTAGAAGCCGAGGAGAGAGGATAAAGAAAATATAAAAAAGAGAAAAAGCTGCAGACCTCTCTCTGCCTCGCAGCAGCAGCAGCAACAGCAACAATAAATAAACAAGAAACAAATAATAAATAAACTAAATTAATTATTTAATTAATAAATAATTTAATAATAATAACAGCAAAGACAGACAAATACTTGCTGCCTGTAGCAGCACGACGTCAGGCTGCTGCTGCCGCCCCAGCAGCAACAGCAGCTGCAGCAGTAGCAGCAGCAGCAGCAGCAGCAGCAGCTGCTGCTGCTGCCTGCATGCGGGGGGCCCTCGCCCTTAGTTCTGCTGCTATTTGATCGTTTTGCTTTTAAATTCTTTTAATTTAAATTGCTTAGACAAACGCTGCAGCAAACTCCTTCACTTCTGATCCAACACTGCAGCAGCTGCTGCTGCTGCTGCTTCTGTTCTTGCTGCTGCTGCTGCTGTTGCTGCTGCTGCCGCTGCGCAAACAGCAGCAGATCAAGCTAAAGGATTTCGCCGAGGAAGCAGCTGCTGCTGTTGCAGAGACAGACAAGACTACAGGCAGTAACAGACCAGCCGCGCAGCAGCAGCAACAGCAGCAACAGCAGCAACAGCAGCAGTTGCAGCAGGGACAGCAATTGCAGCAGGAGCAGCAGCAGCAGTTGCAGCAAGAGCAGCAGAAATGTCGTTGGTTGCAGCCCCTAGAGGGGCGGAACCGACAGCTATTACTCCAGCTTCACCTGAGAAGGATGTAAGCCCTAAACCCTAAACCCTAAACCCTAAACCCTAAACGCTAATCAAACCCTAAGAACATTGCTATTTCTTTAGGAGGCTTCTTAACATAACAGCAACACTTCTTTCGAGTGTACGCTTTACACGGGTTGCTGCTGGTGGAAGCTGCGGGCTATTAGGGTTTACAAGCTAGGGTTTAGGGTTTAGGGTTTTAGGGTTTAGGGTTTAGGGTTTAGGGTTTGATGGTTTGCTGCAGGAAGCCGGGAGAACATCTGGACTCGAAGCCCCCACACTCCGCTTGACGGGGCACACAGTGAGCAGCAACAGCAGCAGCAGCAGCAGCAACAGCAGCAACAGCAGCGGCTCAAGCAGCTGCAGCAGCAGCTCAAGCAGCAGCAGCAGCAGCAGCAGCAGGAGCAGCATGAGTAGTTAGCAGCCGCAGATTTTGCTAGCTTTTTTGCAGCGCAGCAGCAGCAACAACAACAGCCGCAGCAGCAGCAGGTTTTCTGGTGCTGCTGCTGTAGTAGCAGCAGCAGCATCTCTTTCTCATGCTCCTACTGCAACCAATTTGCTGCTGCTGCTGTTGCTGCTGCTGTTGCTGCTGCTGCTGCAGGGGGAATTGTATGCTGTTCGTTTTTCAATAGACGGAAGAAATATTGCTACAGCAGGAGCAGATAGGACTGTCTGTAAGCCCCACTTCTGCTGCTGCTGCTGCTGTTGCTGCTGCTGCTGTTGCTGCTGGTGCTGCTGTTGCTGCTGTTGCTGTTGCTGCAGCTGCTGTTTTGTTGTTATTTCTTTTTTTATTGTGGTGTGTTTGGGGGTTTGATGCGACTTGTTGTTATTCTGTTTGCTGCTTTGCTGCGTCTACTGCTGCTGCTGCTGCTGCTGCTGCGTTTGCTGCTGCTGCCTTTGCTGCTGCTGCTGTTGCTGCTTAGTTTGTTTTTTAAAAACAATTATTTAAATTTTTTTTGTTTTACACCGTCTATGGGTCGACAACTTATTAATTTAGCCACTCATTTATTTATTTATTTATTTATTTACTTAAATTATTTATATTAATTTGTTCAGTTTTTATTTTATTTGTATCTGTCTATAACTTGTTAATTAATTAGCTTATTTATTTATTTATTTATTTATTTATTTATTTTATTTATTTAATATATTTTTATTAATTTATTTGGAGTGGTTTACAACGTGTATCTGTCTGTAGCTGGCTGACCTATTAATAAGTTTATTTATCAAATAAATAAATAAATAAATAAATAAATAAATAAATAAATATTATTTAATTAATTATTTATTTATTTATTTAATTTATTTACAGTGGTTTACAACGTCTACGGCACGCCTGCAAGTTGGGTGCAGCTACGCGGACATAAAAACGCAATCCTCGACTTGGCGTTTAGTGAAGACGGAACGTAAACCCTAAACCCTAAACCCTAAACCCTAATAAGCCTTAATAAGCCTTAATAAGCCTTAATAAGCC